AAATAGAAAAAAACAAAAAACAAAAATTACTCAAGTTACCCCGAAAAATGCCTCATCTGTTGTTATTGTCATAATGTAATTTGACATTTTATTCAAATTGTTCTTAAAATTCATTTGTATGTGTTGCAAGGAGAAAGCGGTTGTTCTAAATTCTAATACGTGAAATTGGACTCAATTTCACAACCAAAAGAGAAAAATACTTGATTTGTCATAATTTTGTGTAAATTTATTCTTGATTTACGGGTGTTTTTTGTGAAGGAAAATACTATAACGAACCACAAATTATGTTTCAAATCATGACACAAATACATTAATCAAACGCACCATTTTGTGTAAATAGAAAGAAAAAAAAAACCCCTCTTATTTCTTTTCTCCTGCTTCTCCGAGAAGAAATGGGAAACAAAGTGAAGTTTTCTCATACTTTGTGTAAAGTGAACAAACAGGAGGATTTGTACAGCCCACCATATAAAGTTAATTAAAGTAAAATAAATCAATAACACTGATGACAACTTGCAGTATGGGAAGGAAATTATGACAAAATCTTGCTATAGTTAGGGTATGTTTGGGAGAGTTTATTAAATCTGTGTTTTTTTTTACTTTTTGTCTCCAAAAGTTGTTTTGGGAAGTGTACGTGATTTGTCGAAGCGTTTCAGCTTTTTAGTAGAGTTTTTAGTTAAAACCACAATATAAGTTTTAAAAAATTACTTGATTTTCAAAGGACCAGTAAGAATAGCATTTATCTACAAAAAAGATATATCAGTGTATACTTGTATATGTGTATACTCAACGAATTCAAGTGTAATTCTTGATCTTTGAAACTGCAAAATCGGAAAAAAAAAATAAATAAAAAATAAAATAAAAAACAGAAACAGAAAAGAGAAAACTAATAGGATGGTGTATTCATTTATTCCATCCAATTCAATCCACATATGAAATAGGATGAACATAGGATGGGTTTCACATGTCTAGTTGGGATCGTGAGCATAACAGATAATACATGTAAAATCGAATTAACAACTAAAAGTGTATCAAACTTCACGGGGTATTTTGCCTACTTGTCCCTAATCTTATAGAGTTTTAATAACTTACCCATGAAATTTTAATTTTAACAACCTACCTTCTAACTTGTAAAACTGTTCCAATGTACCCCACTCATATTCGATGAAAAATTCCAACATCCCAATTTAACTCGTAACAAAATCTCTTAATTTTCCGACTCTCAATTCCTTAATTCTGATAGGAAATCCTAGTAAAAATAACAAAATGGCGCACATTGCAAAGCTTTTATAAGTTGTGAGAATAATTTACTAAAATTAAAAATTTAGGGGAGAAAGTAGTCAAAAATTGCTTTCCTGCAAAAACAAGAATCTCACTAAGCCTTGTGAGCTAAAGATTGGTCGCCACAAGAGGGATTGCCTCCCTAAGAGATAAAAGCCAACAAAGTTATAACAGAGTAACCACAAACACTGGGCATGTGGAGCACCGTTAACTAGTCTAGAATCCAATCCAATCAAACTTAAAAATGTATAACGGAGAAACCACTGAAGAGATTTGGGTGGTCAATTCGGTAGTTGCAAAGACGATTTGGATTGTATGCCGTGTGAGTCAGAAACCCAACATATATAATAAGCCCATTGTTGCTTTGTTTTTCGCGTCCCACTACATTCCATAAGGGTGGGGCAGATCTTTTAGAATGAGAATTCTTTCATAGGGTATAAATATATATATAGAAATTCTCTCTAGTCAGTCACTTAAAAAGTGTATGATCAGTCAAGTACTTATATAATTATGTATAAATTATGTATATTTATACGTAAATTATGTATATTTACATGTAAAGTTGTGTGTATTTAACATGAAATACAACAAATCAGTCAATATGCATATTTTCATGCTATGTGTTTACTAATTGTTATAAAAAAAACATGTTTTGAGGATTAATATACATTGTCGTTTCTTATAACTTAACATACATGATTTATATGTAAATATACACGATTTATATGTAAATTTACACGATTGCATAATTATACAAGTGTCATGTAAATATACACAACTTACCTGTAAATATACACATTTTATACAAAAATGTACAAGTGTCGTTCAGGTAAGGCATTTTCTAAGTGCCTGACCAGAGATCTTGCCTCTATATATATATATATATATATGTGACAAAACTACATCGTACACCAACTTTAAACAAATCGGCTCAAAATCATATCACATCCTTTATTGATACATGTTATTATGTAAAATTGGTCCTTCATGAAATATGACAATAACAAACCCAAAGATCTTCTAGTTCAGATTAGCGTTAGTCCCCTACTGCATCCCACTCTTTCTAACGAACACTAGTAGTTATTTGTCAGTAGAGATGACAAGGTTATATGCAAACTCATTTTCCAACGGGAAACCATCTTGAATGAGGTCGATTAGTTAGTTCGGTTTAATCGCATTTAGGTCGTAAATGTTTTAAACAATTTGACTTTTGACCTAAGGGTGCGCGAGATGGCAAATGGTTTGAATGACATGAAAATCCCCCAAATCCCAACTCATAACATACCCTTATTTTCTTTGGTTCGTAATTCATAAAGATCAAGTAAAATTAGATACAACTAATTGTTTAATTATCACTTATAACATGAAGAGAGAGAAAAGTTACAAAGGAGTAGCGTCAGCAGGAGCTCCGGTTGCCGGACTCCCGACCTTGAAACTTGGTCCATCGACTCGTCTCATCATGTGCTTTACTGTCGTGGGGGCAGTGTTCGCTATGGTAGCTTCGTTTCGTCGAATTTCTTCCGAGATGGTGGTTGGGTACCGCACGTTTTGAACTCTGTTTTCCGTTGTCTTGTGGTTGAGCGCACTCGGAGCTGTGTTCCGCTCCATGGAGTGCTTCATCTGGCGGTGTTGTTGGATTCCGGCAAGAGTGGGGCAGCCTCCTTCTGCGGGCGTTTTTCCGTCTTCGCCGTGCGTCTCTTGAAGCCCCCTGATGACT